ACGGAGTCGGTTGCATTTGCGGCTAAGTCCATTTTCAGAGGCCACCAGAAGAAAATCGGTACTTGTATAAATTGTGAGATGTTTTCAAAAAGTTACTAGGGCCGCAGTTGAACGCATTTGACTGCCCATTGTAATTTATACAAGTACCCGAAGCCGTCCAAGACGCTTTGAAAACGGTCACTTGGACCACGGAGTCGGTTGCATTTGCGTATAAGTCCATTTTCAGCGGCTACCAGATGAAAATCGGTACTTGTATAAATTGTGAGATGTTTTCAAAAAGTTACAAGGGGCACAAAACGGTCACTTGGAGCACGGAGTCGGTTGCATTTGCGTATAAGTCCATTTTCAGAAGCCACCAGAAGAAAATCGGTACTTGTATAAATTGTGAGATGTTTTCAAAAAGTCACTGGGGCCGCAGTTGAACAAGTTTGAATGCCCATTGTAATTTATACAAGTACCCGAAGCCGTCCAAGACGCTTTGAAAACGGTCACTTGGACCACGGAGTCGGTTGCATTTGAGTATAAGTCCATTTTCAGAGGCCACCAGAAGAAAATCGGTACTTGTATAAATTGTGAGACGTTTTTAAAAAGTTACAAGGGCCGCAGTTGAACGCATTTGAATGCCCATTGTAATTTATACAAGTACCCGAAGCCGTCCAAGACGCTTTGAAAACGGTCACTTGGACCACGGAGTCGGTTGCATTTGCGGCTAAGTCCATTTTCAGAGGCCACCAGAAGAAAATCGGTACTTGTATAAATTGTGAGATGTTTTCAAAAAGTTACTAGGGCCGCAGTTGAACGCATTTGAATGCCCATTGTAATTTATACACTGTAAAAAATCGTGGGTAAATTTACCCGTGTACTATGTAGATAAATTTTTCACAATGACGTGAGAAATTTTTTCCTCTAACAATGGATGCGCAGGCTCTTATTAACCTTGTGGAAGGGTGAATTTGCCCATGCACTAGCAGGGTAAATTTGTGTGCCAGAGAAGCAATTTTATCCTTTGGACGCGGAACGTCAATTTCTTTCGTCAATTCGCAGTGAATTTCTCACTTTGACTCGGTTTTGTTCCTTTACCGAGCCACAGGGGCAAATTTTCACACGATATGATGTGGTAAATTTCTTACGCTGATGAGTCACTACTGATTTGTCTAGCCACAGGGGCAAATTTCACACATTTTGAAGTGGCGAATTTCTCACGCTGATGAGTCACTATTGATTTGTCTAGCCACAGGGGTAAATTTTCACTTATTTTGAAGTGGCAAATTTCTTGTGCTAAGGGGTCAATACCGATTTGTCTAGCCACAGGGGCAAATTTTTACATATTTTGAAGCTGTGAATTTCTCACGCTGATAAGTCACTACTGATTTGTCTCGCCACAGGGGTCAATTTTCACTTAATTTGAGGTGGTAAATTTCTTACGCTGATGAGTCAGGACCGATTTGTGTAGCCACAGGGGTAAGTTTACTTACGTAACGGTAATTTTCTGATGCTAGTGAGCCAATACCTAGTTTTCTGGTGGTAGGTGTCAATCTATTCAGATACTTGTGCGTTGAACTTGGTTCGTCGTCCTCGCCTCCCGCCGCGCCGCCTCGCCGCGCCAGGCTACGCCAGGCCCACTGGCCAGTTCCCCCCCCCTCCCCCCACCAGTCCCCCCTCTCTCTCCCTCCTTGCCCCCTCTCTGCCCGGCCGGCCGGCCGGCCCATCGCGCTATGCTTGCTTTGGCGGAACTTTTTTGTGTGTGACAGACGTTTCGAGCAAGTTGCAAAGTTTCCAAAACCACTGACTGAAAACCACTGAAAGAAATATCGGGAAGAAGACTGTAATACATTTGCAATCCTAATTTGCATAATTTTTGGTCGTTTGTTGATGAGTGAGGGGGAGGGGGGGGAGATGGGAGATGTCTTTTCGTCGTCTGCTGCAGTGACAAATGGGGAGAGTGAGAAACTGAAGAGTGGTGTAATACGTCGATGCACCTGAACCGGCTCCACTATCATGCGCAAGCGAGAGCGAGAACAACTTTAAAAGGGTAAAAATATCCACCATCATCAGAGCATGCTATCGTTTTTCGTTACTTTTGCTGGCTTTTTCCATTAACCTTTCATCGTCGTTGTAATGCTTTGTTTGATGCCCGCCCCACCCACTATAAGGTGAAGGTGGCTGTTATCGAAAACAACACACTATATTCAGGCAGCCTATGATTTAATTACCTTGCACCTGCTTTCACGGGTAATAAAATGTTTTGTTTTTTTTCATTTCGTTTTTTTTTTATGAAGCAAGTTTTGTCACGCCTCGCCACGTCCTAGTTTTAATTAACTGTGGCCGACTGTAAAAGTTTCCTTCAGATCACGTTTGGGCTATCTTACAACTTCTGCTGCTTAATTTATGCGTCTGCATGTTTTTGTTTGATAACTTTCACGATGCACCTTGCTCTGTAGCACTCAATCTCAGGAAATTTCCTTTCCTCTTGATTGCCTTTTCTTTGTTCGATTGTGTATAACCTAAAGTCTAGCAGCTGACTCGCTGAATTTTTTGTTTGCTTAATCCTTTATTATATATGATTGCTTTTGTTTCAGGTACATCAGAATCTAGCTGCAAGAGGACAGAATGCCTTTGAAACGAAAGGAAACTTCTCCCACTAAGCGATGCCAGCGTTCGTGCTGATCCAGCTTTAGACAACATCTCCCAGGTGCACGCTTGCAGCAGAATTTAAGTGAGTATTTATTCCAGTCAGTGTGTAGAGTTGACTTCCAAACCCTTCTTATAAAGAAAGGAGGAAAACAAACTTTAGAAAAATGATTACCTCTCTTCTTATGTTTTTGATGGTAGCTCCAGATGAGAAACAGTTTGGAACCTTGTCGAAAGTGCTGTGCATATTTTATGGAGTCTCTCTGGTCTATGCCTTGGCAATCTTCCACCTATAATTGTGTCTGTGCTCATTATGTGTGTTCCATATGTTGTTGTTTATTATTATTGAGGTGTGGAGGATTGTTTCTTGAGAGTGCTGTCATTTGCATTAGAAATGCGCTCAAATTAAAAGGAAGCGAATATAAAACTTAAAACAGTTTAATCCGCTATCCCTCCTTCATATAAATTTTCAAGAAAGCTGATCTAAAATAGTCACATTGCACTTCTGACCTAAGAGCATAAGCAATTAAGAGTTCTTATTTTAACCTTGAACTAAAGGCTTCAGTTCAACGTCGAGGTCTTACAATAGAGCCTGATTTTATTTTGGTTAATATCAAATTTCCTACTAATGATCAGTAACTTACTTGAAAAAAAAAAAGTATTTGAGTAATTCTAAGACAGATAATTTTTTTAAAAAAAGAAGAAATCATTTGGGGGTTTCTTCCAGTTAGATGGATACAAAAAAGTAAATCCAGAAATGCGTTATCCAAAATTGGCAGGGTGAAGCAGCCGGCCGGCGAGGCTCTTGTTGTGCTCCTCCAGGACTTACCCCACCACGACGCTCCCACCACGGAGATGCTCCGTGCTCCCACCATCATCGGACAGCAGGCAGCGCGGCCTGGCGGCGAGGGCCTTCTTCGCCTTCTGCCCGTGTGGATCAGGGCGCATCCCACTTGGCCGGCGGCCTGCCCGACCGGGCGGCGATGGCGGCGAGGGTGCCCGAGGGTGCTGTTGTGCTTGTGCAGGACCTTGGGCACCACCAGGGCAGCGCCCACTTCGACGGCGAGCAGGGCACCCTGGCGCGGCAGTGGGTCATCGTTACCCTTTCCTTGGCCACTACGAAGCCGCCCCGCTTGCACTGCGGGCTGCGCGCCCTGGTGGCGAGGGCCTTCTTCGCCTTCTGCCCGTGTGGATCAGGGCGCGTCCCACTTGGCCGGCGGCGTGCCCGACCGGGCGGCGATGGCGGCGAGGGTGCCCGAGGGTGCTGTTGTGCTTGTGCAGGACCTTGGGCACCACCAGGGCAGCGCCCACTTCGACGGCGAGCAGGGCGCGCTGGCGCGGCAGTGGGTCACCCTTTCCTTGGCCACCACGAAAGCCGCCCCGCTTGCACTGCGGGCTGCGCGCCCTGGTGGCGAGGGCCTTCTTCTCCTTCTGTAGGCCCGTGGATCAGGGCGCATCCCACTTGGCCGGCGGCGTGCCCGACCGGGCGGCGATGGCGGCGAGGGTGCCCGAGGGTGCTGTTGTGCTTGTGCAGGACCTTGGGCACCACCAGGGCAGCGCCCACTTCGACGGCGAGCAGGGCGCCCTGGCCCGGCAGTGGGTCATCGTTACCCTTTCCTTGGCCACCACGAAGCCGCCCCGCTTGCACTGCGGGCTGCGCGCCCTGGTGGCGAGGGCCTTCTTCGCCTTCTGCCCGTGTGGATCAGGGCGCGTCCCACTTGGCCGGCGGCCTGCCCGACCTGTATGGTTGTAGTGTCGTGACAATTTTTCATAAGTAGTGGCTATGGGAGATTTTGATTGTATTCACATTTGAATCTGAATGACAGTCTGAATTATTTTGTGGTCTAAAGAGACTCTATCTTCCTTTAATGTAAGGTAAAATGTGAAATTATTTTGTTTATCAATGTTGTTTTGCTTTTTTCAGGTGGTGGTAGATGAGGATATCGTTCAACGTCTGAGATGAAGTGCTCTATCAGTTGCTGTTTCTGGACGTTTTCCTATCCCAAAGTTTGCATACTGACTGGCTGGTGGAATGATGTCTGCAGACTGCTTGTAAGTGTGATCCTCATTTTGCCACATACAAAGAGTTAAGATGGTTTAAAATTAATAGGGTTTTGTCTTCTGAGAACATAGAAACTTTTATTGAAATAATAACATTAAAAATTATAAAACTGCGATGAGTGGCAAGAATATAAAAGTAAACATTGAAGCTAGCAAGTGAGTAAGCACTGTTATTGAAACAATAACATTAAAAATTATAAAACTGCGATGAGTGGCAAGAATATAAAAGTAAACATTGAAGCTAGCAAGAGAGTAAGCACTGTTATTGAAATAATAACATTAAAAATTATAAAACTGCAATGAGTGGCAGGAATATAAAAGTAAACATAGAAGCTAGCAAGTGAGTAAGCAAATATTCATACTTTTCTTCCTTGAAAAATTGGCGGGTTCCAGTCTTTGCCCAGACTTTCTTGTCTTGCCTCGCCAATTCATGCATTGAAGAATGTCCTGTCTGGATAAAATTCAAAATTCATTAGCAAGTTGTCTGCTTTTGAAACCAACATTTACTTTTAGCAAACTAAAGGAACTGAAATTAAGCGGACCAGCCAGCATTCACAATGAAATATACTTGTAAGTTAATCAAACGCTTTGTCAAGTGGAAGGCTTGCAAAATTATTTATAACTCCAAAAGTGACTGCCATAGTAAATTTGGTTTCAGACCTTTTGTTGGTTGCAATATGTAATATTTTCAGAAAGCAATCTGGTCTGTAAAAGATATTAGATTTTGTGCCCTGCTAGAGTGATTAAAAAAGAAGGAGAAGCCATATGCTTGCTGACTTGTTGTTAACAATGTAAGCAATAGTTACTAGCGATTGAAATAAGAGTAAAATTATTACTGGAACATTATGAGAGGAAATATGATTTTAAACTTACGAACCTGTTACATTATGTTGCAGTCGCATTCCTTCAAAGATTTCCTGGGCGGCAGCTTTTCAGGGCTATTTTTCTTCGGTGTTTTTGTAGGGGATCTCCAACTTGGGTCCCAGTACCCTGAAAACGAACCAGTTTTTTTCAGAGCTGTTGTCACATCTCTTAGAGCAGTAAATAGGGCTATTTACCTTCTGGTGTTCGTGGTCGTTTGGGCCCCCTGTGCCTAGTGCACTGCTGGATGTCCTTTTGAGTCAGCCCACTTGCTTTGTAGAACTGTGCACATAAGAAAAATGCCACATGTATTTAAATGCTAAGATGAATCCAGTGCACATAGAGGCCTATGCTACTACTTACATTTTCACATTCCTCACATGCGTAGCCTGGCAGGTTCTTCCTGCGCTTACCACGCACTTTAGTCGGGGTGAGCTCTTTTCTTGGTACTCTGAAGGAATGAGGAAAGATGTATGAGTAACAACTCTAGGGGTTGTCCTTTTCACAAACTCTTTTAATGATTACGTTACCTGTCATAGCTGTGATGCGTTTTTATTTTTGGTTGTTCTTGCTGTTCCCTTGGTGGGGTTGTAGCCTTATCGCTCACTTGAGGGAGACCCTGATCACACAAACTAATGTTTTTTTGTTAATATCTAGCTATTTTATCATGATAAAAAAGTTGAGGATTGTGCTTGAAGTAACCTAAATTATGTTTTTGTTAACCAAGCTGCTCATAAATTACCTTTCTTTTGAAGATTTCAGCTCCTTTTGCTTGACATTTTCAACACTCTGAGTGCCCCCTTCTAGTGGCATAATTGTATTTTGAGTGGGAAATGAACACTGGAATTTACCACTCGCTTGGCGATTTGGCGGTATTTTCCTGGATTTGTTGAGCCGCGGAAGGGGGAGAAGGGGTGGGGGTGGGAGTCGGGAGGTGTATTCCCTTGCCGAGGGGGGGGGGGAGGCGAAATTTCTTGTTGTGATACCAACGTTTCCACGCAACTTTCGCCAATTTTCACTTCATGAAACGTTGTCAAAATGTTGTAAAATGCTTTATTTTTACATCTTTGTTCATATTTTGTTATTGCAGATGTCCTTCAATACGAAAGGAAGTGGGAGATGGCATCATCAAAAATCAACCGAAAACAACAGTGTTGGCAGCCTTGCGTCGGCTTCATTCTCATTGGCTCGCAGCGTCTTGGCGGTTGGCTGCCGGACTGTACGTTGACTGTTTGAAAGTAACGGCCAGATAGAGTCAAGATCCCTTCAAGTTTTGGCAGGTAATAAGTAGGTATTTGTAAGGAAATCCATTTAGAAGGTTCTTTGTGGTCGGTACCAGATCGCCTTGCCCATCTCTCTATGATAGGGAGACGTTTTAACTTCTCTAGGATGAGAGATAGCGTTAGGCGCAGGTTTGCGCGCCCACTGGCTTGAGATGTTCGTCAATTTTGAGTATATTGGAAAGACTTGATATTGGTTTTCTTTCTCATCGAGGAAAAATATGAGCCATGTAGTTTGGTAATGAATTAGCGCGTTCGCATACCCTTTCCCTCTGATCCCAACTTGGGACCTTTAACCTTGCTACCTGTGCCTTTGGTAGTGACCCTAGCCTTTGGCGGCGCCCTGCGACTAGTGCAGCTACACTGTCGGTCTGAGAAGCCCTTTTTATTTATTTATTGTAGTTTTCTCTTAGTGTAGAAAAAAAGAAAACTAAAACGTGTTTCGATGATTAACTTTGAACTTCTGTCAGTTTATTTTTTAGTGCCACATCTGTCGAAATTTACGCAATGCGCCTCTACTGAAAGTTTGTGGAAACAATTCTAAGGCTGAAACACCCATATAGATAGTTCAATACTAAGGCTAAGATCAGTTCCAAGAAGATTCTTTTGATGAGTTTGTCAATATTTTTCAATTTAATTCTTTCTGTTTACTTGTCAACAGACTCTCGCTGCTGGCGAGGCACTGGCTTGATTGCTTTCATACCACCAGAGCCCTACAAGTGAGTATTGGTCTGATTCAGTTTGTTTAGGTGTTATTTTAATGAATTTTCCAACCCATAGCTCATTCTGTTGTTGTGTCCTGTCTGATGTTTTTTTCATTGGTTGGCAGTGTTTTGGCTGTAATCACAGTGTCTTTCAAAACACAGCATTCCCAATAGCATAGGACAATTAGTGGTCTTTTAATTGCCAAACGCTTCATGAAGCAAAACTAAAAATGTTAAATGTTATAAAAAATGTTATAATTAATTAAGGCAACTTTATTTTTGCAATCACTTGTGTGGAAGTGGAAAGACCTCAAATAGTCCCAGGCTAATGGGAATTTGGTTTTCTGCAAGACTTTTGCAGACATGCTAGACATTGTGATAACAAACAGCTACCATACAACCAAACAGTCCCTACCAATGACAAAATTAGAGACACTGAAAATAACATGAAGGGCAAGTAAAGTGAATACTTGATGGGCACAAAGTTTAGTGAGTTACTTGTAGAAGTAACTTTAATAAGTGCAGTAATCCTCTTATTGACAAAATAGATCCATAAAATTCTATCCATATTAATAAATTCCTTCAGTTTTACATTGATAGTTACTTTGTTGTTCAGGGTTGTTTCCTCGCAATGAAAGCCCCTTTTCTAGCAATTGATAAGGCAGATGAACAATTTTAAATAAAAGATTAAATTAATTATGAGTTAATTTTACAACCCCAGCTCAGTCATTTGAAATTCTGTTCTCCTATCTAATGTTCTTTGTTTGTCATCAGATTCATTCTGTGGCAGTACGCCAAGTGCTTCAGTGTTCGCTGACATGGCTGACAAGGATGACACTGGATCGGACACGGAAAGCCTATCCCAGCTGGCTGGTGTCAAACGGAAGCTGCTCCTGGATAAGGCACCAAACGGCCAGCATTCTGACAGTAAGTTTGGATCCTCTGTGCACAATAGGATAGAAATCACCTCTTCATAGTTCATAGATTTTAACCAGCCTAACATAAAGTTATATTTAGACTATTTTTCTGCTTTTCAAAGTATTTTGAGCAAAGTGACAAAACAAAAATTCATGTCAGGAAATGGGATGGTGGTCTTTGCATTTTTAACCGATATCTCCCAATTCTTATTTTAATTTGTCTCTTGTTGTTTGCCAGAGTAACTCATCAGCAAATTAGTTACCTCAGTAACCCTCTATCTCTAACCATGAAGTGTAAAACTTGTGGTGCAGTTTTCCTGACATTGCTGGAGCATGCAAATCATTTTGACTTGTCCCATAGAGTGAGCGTGAAGTCTGCTTTTACTTGTGGCTTAGAGAACTGTATTGTAAAGCTCAAAAATATTGATGCATACCAGCAACACATCAAAGTTTTCCATCAAAAGAAAACTGAATTTACCTCTCAAAACAACAATGATGAGGACCTTCTTTTCAAATGTCCTGTTACTGACTGTGACTTCAAATCTAGGAACAAGGCATCGCTCAGAAGTCACAGATTTTGGCATAAGTCCCTCCCTGAGGTCAGCTCTGCAGAGCAGAATGGCGGTGTTGATGAACAGCCCCTTGAACAGTCCATGTCAGAAGAAAATAATTTTGAAGTTGAGACCTCCCTTCTCCTGCAGGAACAACAACCAAACATTACACCTCCATCAGAATTTGAATCCTCTTCTGCTTTTAGTATTGATGATCTACATGCTTCAGAAATTTCTTTAGCAAAGAAATTAACCCACCTGAGCATTTCTCTAACATCAAAGTTTCATGTGCCAGATTCAACACTTTCTTATGTGCTGAATACATATTCCACTCTTCTGAAACAATCCTCCTCCATCACTGCTTCAAAATTGATTCAAGAATTGAAGTCCAGTGAATCTTGTGTTGTCCATGACAAAGTCTTGGAAATACTTGCTGAGGATCCTTTGTTAAAACTTCATAGTCCTGGAGGACCTTTGCGCTCTTACTACTGTCGTCAAAAGCAGTACAACATTGATTTCCCATTCGTGAAACCTCGTCCAGTTCGCTTAGGCCTCAACAGTGAAAACATTGAGTGCAAGTACCATTATGTACCAATCAAGGAGTCCTTAAAACGAATGTTTGAGGATGACTCTGTTTATGAACAGTATCTTGAGAACAGTAGAAGACCAGTTCTAGTGCCAGAAGATCTAACAGATATTAATAGTGGCTCTGTCTTCTTTGAAAATGAACTTTTCTCGAGCCACCCTGATGCAATTCAATTAATTTTGTTTCAAGATGATGTTGACCTTTGCAAAGCCCTAGGAGCATCTGCTGGCTCATTCAAAATAATGCATATGGGCTTTACTATTTGTAACTTACATCCATGGAACAGATCCAAAGTGGACCCACTTCAGTTGTTAATGCTATGCAAGGAAAAGGATGTAGCGTACTTTGGACTTCCCAAAGTACTGGAACCCGTAATGGAAGACCTGCATGATCTTGAAACTAATGGTATACAGATTAGAGGGAAAACAGTCAAAGCATCTGTGTTGGTCCTGTTGGGAGACAACCTTGGCACTCATACAATTGGTGGTTTTATGGAGAGTTTTGCTGCAACAAAATATTTTTGCCGATACTGTGAGGAGTCAAGGGCAGAGTGGCAAGCACGATGGAATCTTCCTGTGAATGATTCTCAAAGTGATATGGAGAGTGATTCTGGATCTGATGATTCAGATAGTGATTCTGATAGTGAATCTGAAAGTGAAGCTGACTCAGATAATTCTGAAGGAAATGCAACAACTGAAGAAGACGGTGACAGTGATGATGATAATGTCCCCTTATCAGAGATACAGAAGAAATTAAAGAGGAAAGTACCCTGGAGGACTGTTGGCTCCTATAACAAATGTCTTGAGCAACTTAAGGACTGTCCAAGTGGTGTGAAGGGAGTTGTCGCTAATTGTGAATTAAACAAATTGAAATACTTCCATGTTGTAGGAGGAAGTCCTCCATGTATTCATCATGACATAGCAGAAGGATTTGCTCGACATGACATCCGATACTGCTTAGAGCGCTTGAGTAAAAAATACAAATTCAGTCTGGTTGAGGTTGATCGATTGTTTTCTGCCTTTGCCTTTAAAGGTACTGACAAGCTGGACAAGCCACCTAGAAAAGTATCAAACAAAGAAAGAATCAAAGGAAATGCTATTCAAGTACTGACTTTCTTGAGATTTTTGCCACTCATAATTGGTCATAAAATTAAAAACAAAAATGACCGTGCTTGGGTTATGCTGATTACTCTCATTGAAATTCTTCAGCTTATCTCATCACCAGCCATATCTAAAAGTTGTCGTGACTACATTCATGAGAAAATTATCAAGTATTTAACTTTGAGGACAACTTTGTTTCCAGTTCCCTTGAGACCGAAACATCACTTCTTCGAGCACTACGCATACCTTCTAATGATTTATGGGTGTTTGTCAAGGAGCTCCACCCTGCGCTTTGAAGGGAAGCACAAGAATTTCCGTAGTGAATTTTGCAACAAGAAGTGCCTTAAAAATCCTACAAAAACCATTGCAACTTCCCATCAACAAATGCAGAGCTCTCTCTCTGTGGATAATATGTTTACTCTGCACCCCACCATGAATGAAGCTGTATCCCTGAGTGGACTCAATATTGAGAAAGATATCCATGATTGTTTGCTTTCGTCATTTGGGTTATCTGTAGCATCAAAACTCATGTACTCTCATGAGATGACTTTCCATAACACTCTTTATTCAAAAGGAAATGTTGTGGTTGTCTCTACTGAAAAACACCCTGTAATTGAGTGTTTAAAAATTGATGTGTTGCTCTGTGATGGAAAGCTTTCCTATGCTATTGGTATGTGTGATATTATCTCTGAACTCCTTTATTGACTTTCTGTCCTCGATCTCCTGCTACTTTTTTCTCATTGTTTTCCTTCTCTAGGTCGTGCCTGCACTGCTACTCTTGTAGACTCACTGTCAATTTATTCACTGTCAGAAACCAAAAGGGTTCTGCTGTTCAACTTAAATAATCTCAAAGATTATGTCTCCTACCCTGTGTACACTTGGAATTTGAAGCCAGTGCTTGTGCTGAAGCATCTGTATCTAAAGATGTGATCTTTCAGTATGCTGAGAACTCCCTTGTTGGTCCCTTTAATTTAACTTTTTCCCCCCAACCCCAATTTTTTTTGTTATTTTAATCACAATATCTTTTCTGATTTCAGGCTCTCGGATGGCAACGAGGAATCCTGACCCTCAACTCTCCACCACCACAGAGCGTGGGTCAGAAAATACAGGTGAACTGAATGGCAGGAATGCGGATAAGAATGGGTCAAATGAGACTGTCAAGACTGCACAAATGGAAGAGACTCCGGAATCAGAGACAGAATCGACGGGGAAAGAAAAGGAACAGAATGGAAGCCATAGTGTTGACGAAGATGAGGAAGACAATGATGATGATCTTGGTCTTTTCAGTGATGAAGATGATTCCCCTGTCCTAGATTTTATCTTGGAATACTGTGATCATAACATGAAAGACTCTATTGGAAAGAAGCTTAAGGACCTTGGAGTTCAAACGCTCTCAGATTTGGAACACATAGATTTGAAAGAGTCGTTCAGTGATTTGCTTAAGCCTGTTCAAATTGGCAAACTGAAAAAAGGGTTTGAGCAAAGTTCGTAATCTTATTATCATTTGACATTGTGTTTGATGTGTGTCACATTCTTACCTATATTCTCTTCTGTTTCAGTTGGTAAAGATCTCAACAGTAAACATGTCACTGGCCTGGAAATTTTTGATGTGAATAAAATCTTTACCCACAACCAGCGTAACCTACTGAGAGATGCTGAGAAGAGATTGACACACGGTCAAATTATCGACATAACAAAGGCAGTTGGAGATCATCTCTATGCCAACGTAAGGTAAGGATTTTTCATAGTTTATTTTCTTTATTGGAACTTACTAAATTGGCTCATGCTAATTTTTTCTTATTGCAGTTCAGTATCCAACAAATTGTGCAGCCGCATTGGTAAACTCATGTTGGATAGGTTTGGCACTGCACTGAAAGGCACAGGACTGACAGAGGGATTAGATTCAATATCACTATCTGAGCAAATACGGAACAGAGTTCGCTACTGCCAGAAGCTCAAGAAAAAGAATTCCAAATCCAAAACGTTGCCGCCACTCCAGCTACATCCATTTTCAAAGAGACAATGTCATGGGCTTGCATCAGAAAGAGATCTACCCACTGATTTCCCTGATGGGGAAACAAAAGAATCTCAAGAAAACAAAAGGCTCCAGATGGTCAAAATGTTTGAGACATGTGAAGTCAACAAGAAGTTACTAAGGACTTTAATGGACCAAACTTATGTGGCACAAAGGCTCACCATCAATGCATTGAATAACATGCAACGTATTCTTAAGGATTGGCCATTCATTGGAAAGGTAAGTTTCTACACAAGCTTTACCTTTACTTTGTGTTTATAGTGTATTTAAAAGAAATATTTTTTACCCTTTACAGTATAGATTTCTTCGGGATCACTTCTATTTTCTTATGGACTTGGACATGGATCAAGTGGGAAACAATATGAATGAGCTTTTCCCCAAATTGATAAAATTCTTAACAGCTGAAGGAAACAAAGTAAAGAAAGACAATGCAGGAGAAATTTCTAAAAAGATCAGAAAGCTAGTCAGAAAGTATGAAGCTTCTGAACCATGTGAGGACTTGCAGTTTGTAACTATATTTCTTGGACTGGCTGCAAAGTTGGATATTAAAGTGTCCTCTATGATATTGCACTTCCCTGTACGTGACTGATCATTAGTTTGAATTAATTTATGCCAGAGTCCACAAAATGATTTGTTCGATGTTTACTCTTTTACAGGAAACAGCCAGTTTTGATGAAGTGGAGGCTTCAAAATCTCTACCAAAGAGTGGAAAACCCACTATTGCTGTCTTAGGTAAATGCCAGTGTATATGCTTGCAATGTTCTTCTTATCAGGATGCCAATGATTAATGCCGAATCTCAATCTACAGGTGATGATCTATTTGCTTTGCCAAAGTGCTTTGTTTTAGTTGACAATCGGATAATATCTCCTGAAACTTTGCAACCCATGAATGCAATCAAATCTGCTTTCATGGCCTATTTTGTTTTCAAAATAACCTACCCGAAAGGTCTCCAGCCTCTTCTGAATTTCTTTGAAAGGTAAAGTTGTGTGGATCTCTTGCATTTAAATTCATTGTATTCTAGATAATAGTTTTATTATTTACTGTTAAATTTTTTCCAGGGATGTGTTTTTGATTAAGGCCACCGATACCTCCTGTGGCAGAGTTGAAAGGCGGAAGAGAACTGATGGTTCTTGGGAATGTACACCCAAGGCGTTAGCTCCAAAATATGTTACTCTAATGCAACAAGTACAAGACTATCTTGACCGATGGGAGGATTAATGTGCCTAGTCATTTGTTCTGATTTCTATTAACTATGTTCAGCCCTTTTGTAATTCTCTTTCTTCATTAATTTTTATGTTGTGCTTGGTCTGTTGATCAAGTAATTTACTTGATTTGTTCTAGTAGTTGATTTTACTGTATTAATTTAAAGGGATTGTTCCATTCATGTATGGAAATCGATTTATGTATGTGATGCGGCTGTGTCTCTTGATGTGATTGATACATTTAAAGTAGGTCTTACTCTTAGTAGTTTTAGGCATTGTTCTAAGGTCCTTTCTTAATTGAAACTTTAACATAATGGGTCTTTATAATTAACTTTCTTGATGATTTTTGTTAGCAAGTGCTTGGTCCGTTATCCACTAATTTACTTTATTTGTTCTAGTGGTTGATTTTACTGTAACTATATTTATTCCATATTTAAACTTGTCATAAGGAAATTCATGTGTGTGTTTCCACTGTAGTGCCTTGATGTGACTGATACTTTTAAAGTAGGTTTTACTTTTAGTAGTGTGTTCTGATGTCCTTTCTTAACTGAGATTTTAACATTACTGGTTTGAGTTCCATGCATTTGAGTATGCCAGTAACTAAATATTTATTTATTCTGTTATACTGTTTAAACTGATTAATGTTTTTTAAATTAATTATACTAACGTTTCCCTGCTGCATGTTGGAGCTGTCTTGTTATCCTTTACCCTGACAGGCACTGTCAATTGTGGTTCTTGAACTTCAAGACTCCAGCGCCCGCTAGTTAGGCAACCCATCCGGCTCATCGAATGTTCTTCAGGGCTGGGCGGCCACTAGAGAACCTCAGAGGCTCTCTTGTGGCCACCCTGTATGGGCGGGGGCCGGGCACTTCCGCTCCCCCCAAACTTCCCTCTCTGGAGCCGGAGTCGGAAGGGTTGCCTACCTGGGGCGTACCAGGCGCACGCGTCTGAAACACATCCTTAGAGACAAATTTACTTTTATGGATTGAGGTTTTTAGACGCGCATCCATTGTTAGACAAATTTACCCCTGCGTGCTGACATATGAAAAAACACACACACGAGGCAATTTTGCTCATTTGGTTAGAAAACAAGGAAACGAATGCCCAAAAGACAAATTTACCCCTGTGGATAGGGACGTGAAAAAACTATGTTTAGAAAGGCAAATTTGCCCCTGTGGATAGGGAAGTAAAAAAATAAGTTTGGAATGGCAAATTTGCCCCTGTGGATAGGAAAAACGAAAATGATGTCCACGTGGCAAATTTACCCCTGTGGCTAGAGTTAATAATTTTCACTCACACACAGTGTAAATTTACCCCTGTGGCTCTACAAAGTTGCACTGCTAGACCATTTGCGCAAATTTTACCTGGAATGGACGGAGGAATTTCTCCTGACATGTACTGATCTATTTACCTATACATCACATGATAAATAACTACCGCTTGATGGTGGACCAAGCGTTGCCCGGTCCAAATGCGTAAATTTTCCCCCGGGATTTTTTACAGTGTATCACTTTCGCCTAAAAGGACACTGTTTGCATTAACATCGAAGGTGGAAGGAGGGAAGTTAACCGTTAAAATGCGTTTATTTCTGCAAAAATGCGGTTCATCTCCGTAAAAATACGGAAAATCTCCGTAAAATATGGAAAATCTCCGTAAAAATATGGAAAATTTACGGAGCCTCCATTCCCAAAATTAGAGTAACTTTCTCCGTAAATTTACGGACTTTTTTTTTGTGGGGAAAACGTACGCGCGCCGACTTCGACCACCACCACCCCTAAACAAGACCACGCGACACTCTTTGATTTCTCCCGTTCTGCATGCGTCATTCACTTCCGGTCTGGAGTTCTTCCAAAAGTTGGGCGGCTGTTGCCTTACCTCTGACTAACGCCGCCGTTCTGCGCTCCCCAGTTCGCTGTTGGGGTGTTGGGCCATTGCCTGGGGCAGCCGCCAGTGAACTGGCCCACGCCGCCACCGGGGAACTGCAGGTCGAACTGGTTGCTGCAGGCAGGACGAGCATTCGAGTAAAGAGTGCTGAGCTCGGTCATCACACACAAAGGGGCGAGACTCGTCTTTTACACCATAATTTTCGCAAATTTCAGGCTGACTCCAAATTTTTTTTCCAATAAATTTGAAGATAAGTGGGGTTTTCCCATTGAAAGCTGGTTCTTTAAGGTTCACTTAAAAAAAGATTTTGACTCTAGGCCCTAGAATCTGTTATCTTTCTGCTAAACTTCGAAATTGCACCAAAAATTCACTGCGCGCATGATATTTAAAGTATGCTGCATCAAATAATAATTGTCTTTGTTCCTCCCTCTAGAGGATTCCTGGTACCAGAAGAGGTACCAGAGAGCACACTGAAAGGTGAAACATTGGCACCCTCCAAAACGTAGGAAACGACATGAAACTTGTCATAAAAATGAAAGTACCAAAAAAGTTGTATTTTTTCTGCCGTTTTTTGAATGTGTTTTGGCTAATATGGCCGAATGGATTGAGGTAGCAAGCTAAATTTTTGAGTGTGGCGAGCTAAGGACATACCTAATGACCCTGCAAAATCTCAGCCAGATCGGCCGAGCCGTTCAGGAGGAGTAGTGCGCACACACACGCACAGACAGACAGACAAAACTTTTCAACCCCACTGGAGTAACGGGCTTCGCTATCGCTCAGCCAACAAATACACTATAATTGAGAAGGCTCTCCGTAACTTTGTTTCTTATGCAACACAGTATGTCACAAAAAATGTGCTCAAGATAAATAAAAACTATTTGCTCAGTAAGATTACGGGGTAAAAGAATATTGTTGAGGGGAATAAGGCGAATACTGTAGAAGGACCAACATAAGGACAGCTATTGAAACACGTTTCAGGAACAATTCACTGAACAGTAATAAAACAAAACTGACAACAGAAATAATAACCCAATAAAGAGGTTTTAACAGATTAACCATCAAATTTAGACATTTTAGTGGTTTTGCTCATGTTTCCCCCTAACCTCACCTTTTATCACTTGGAAGAGTGAAATTTGCACTGCTAGGAGTTCAAATCACACGTAAGGGAGTGAATTTAGCACTCGTAGCGCTTTTTGCAGTTTGGTCCACAATTGCACCGTAGAGTGCGATTGACTGACAACTTAGCACCGAGTGGTGCTAAATTTGCACCCCTGGGAGTGGTCTCTTTTCGCACTGCGACAGTGTGAAATTCACACCACTGGGAGTTAATCAGCCTGAAACTTTTTAGTGAGTGCACCATAGCGTTTGGATTCTTACTGTATATCCTGACTTCGCTTACGACAACTTCAGATCACAACATCGTCAGCTCGCTCACAGGGCGCACTTTCTGCGCACGGCACGACACATTGACTCACGAGTTCAAGTCACTGCCAGTGTTGATGACCTGGACGATGAGGTTCCTTCCTGAGATTGCCGTGTTGGTGAAGCTCAGACGGTAGCAGGCACAGCACAAGGAGGTCGTGGCAATGCCTAAGGCAGTAGGAATTTTGATGGAGATTAAAATACTCAACCGATAGTGTTCACTGCAAAGCTAGTGGTAAGTTTGCTTGCCACAAATTTGGCAAGCTGTTTTGAAAGCCAAAATTTGGCAAGCTTTGGTCGGCAATCTTCATAAGCTTGCCAAATTTTGGCAAGCTGCGGAGTATTTCCAGGCCAAGCTTGCCAAATTTTGGCAAGCCGGGAAGTATTTCCGGGCCAAGCTTGTCAATTTCTGACATTCAAAACGGCTTGCCAGATTTGTGGCAAGTAAACTTACCACCGGCTTTGCAGTGTTCACGGTATGGCGAGTCAAGTTCACAGCAGTTGCCACTCCTCGCTCACCATTGACGTTGGCCGCGGCGAAGGCGTAGGCCTGCCCATCTCTAACAAAGGGCTGCTGGTCGTTGCACACGTACGCGTTGCCGCCGTTGCAACCGCTCTGCGTGTTCGGGTCGATGGTCACGTTGCCCACGGCAGCACACGACCTTGCCGGCGAGGTCACGGAGCCGGTGTTGGCGCTCCATGCGCACGAAGTCTTGCAGCAGTCCCAATAGCGCGTCGTTGTGCCCGAGCCGGTCCCGCTGGGGTACTTCGTCAGAAATAATTGAAAATTCAAGAATTTTAATATAAAGCGCGGCAGCGCGGGCGATAGCGCGGGCCTTCAGGGTGAAGCGTTGAGTTTTCGTGTGTTTGCACTCTAAATGTCTTACAATGAAATTTGACCTATGTTATTCGTATGTTACAGTGGATTCTGCGCAAGTACAATACGAAGCAATATTCCTTCGTAATACGAATCTTTTCAGCTTTTTCATTGTAAGATACAAAGAAAAACCTTCGTAATACGAAGAAAAACCACCTTCGTATTATGCTTGCGCCATTTCCTTCGTATTATGGGAAATTTCTTAAGACATTTAGAGTGTGGGTCTTCAGACATGCAGCCATTTTGGCACCAAAAAATTTTGAATAGGTCAAAACGTCTTCAATCGCTACACTCTAAATATCCTACGAAGAAATTTATCATAATACGAAGGGAATGGCGCAAGCAGAATGCGAAGGTGGTTTTTCTTCGTATTACGAAGGCTTATCTTTGTATCTTACAATGAAAAAGCTAAAAAGATTCGTATTACGAAGGAATATTGCTTCGTATTATGCTTGCGCCGAATCCGACATTTAGAGTGTAGTGCACGGAATTATTCCGAGCCGCTGCGTCAGGTACCCTCTCAAATAGTTCATTGGTGGTATGACGTGCAAAGTGTGGTAAACAACTGTAAGGGAGGTTGCCAAAATTGAGGATAGTTTTGTGTCTTTGGGTCACAGTTTCCACAGTTTTCGACGTAACGACTTCCGGCTTGATTCTTAGGAAACAGCTTAATCTCTCTTAAGGTGGCCCCACAATGGCCGTTCATACGAGAAAGTGTCTAATCTCTTTTCAAACCGTGAATATTTGACATTTAAGCTATCGATTACCATCGGCCGTTTCAATCTAGCGATCATAGTGGGCTAGTAGCGTGTAGTGTGGTAAAATAAAATTGTCAGCACGATCCGACGCCACTCCATGTTTGATCATTCTCTCCATGGGCGGGCCCTAGCTTCTTAATTTTCGTGAACGATGTAACTTCCGTGCCATCTTCCAACGTTAAAGTAAAGGGAAAAAATCAAAGTGAGAGAAAATCCTGGCCTACTTCGGAAACACGTAAAGAATGACCGCTGAGATACAGGAAAAATGGGAAAAAAATAGGTCGAGATATTTTTTTTATTTCTCAGGAGCCGAAACGATCCACAATTTTGGCAACCTCCCAAATGCAGGTTCTCACCTGACTCGTAGCCACCGCTATGAAAAGAACGAACACTCCGGCCACGGAGACTGTAAACGATTTAAGGCAAGGCGTTGATCGGCAAACCTTTACTGTAATTCAGGGGTGCTCTGAAAGTTAGCGCACTTAAGTGCATGTACACACTTTTCCCTTTAATTTTGTTAGTGGAGGTGTGCTTAGGCCAAACACCCCTGGGCATTATGGATGCAGCGCGAGGTGTATGATGTACACACACCCTTTCGCTTGCCTTCCATGGCAGACAAGGTGCGGGAGCCCAACACCTTTTGCCTGGCCGCGAAACAGGCGCACAAATGTGTCGCCTGCTAAAACCGTCACGGTCTACAGAATTTGCACCATGAGACTAGGGGGAATGGACTCGCAAAGGACTGGCCCGGGAAACTCGCTTTGCTAATTGTAGTTCACTATTTCTCCGACTAAATATGCGAGTTTTGAGGGGTCGGGCATTTTTGGAAAGAAGACATCTTAAAATATGCCCTAAATTCAAAAAATTTTAATTTTTCCCCCCAGGGCTCGAAAAGGAAAAAGCTTACCGTCGCGCTATCAAAATGCGCGGGCGACGGCCCTGGGCCCGTGGCGACGCAGGGGGGGCCCCCCCTCTTT